TTAGGGACCAGTTCTATAAATCACAGTGAATGATTACACCCCTGAGCTCACGGGAGCCACGTTGATTCCCATGGCACTGCCCAGGCAACATGGCTCTGGCCACGCCTGTGGCTTGCAGGACCCCATGGCCACTCAAGCTACAGTTTCCACAAAACTCACAACCCAAATGCAGCACAATTCTGCTGGGGGCAAAGGGCAAAAATCGACCAGGAATCGGTCAGTTTCGTTTTTGATTACACCCCTGAGCTCACGGGAGCCACGTTGATTCCCATGGCACTGCCCAGGCAACATGGCTCTGGCCACGCCTGTGGCTTGCAGGACCCCATGGCCACTCAAGCTACAGTTTCCACAAAACTCACAACCCAAATGCAGCACAATTCTGCTGGGGGCAAAGGGCAAAAATCGACCAGGAATCGGTCAGTTTCGTTTTGCAAGTGTGGGAAAAACTGACTGGGCCTATTTGCTCCTTAAAGGGATCGTGGGCCAATGCCCACCAAGGGAAACTATAAGCCCCCCTAGAAAAGGGAGTGCCCCGCAGGTGCTGCCGGTGAAGTGGAAAGAAGCCAGTCCTGTTAGTCGGGGCTGAGGCAGAGGACGTGTGCCCCTCAGACTGCCTACGGGAGCCTTCCTGCAGGCAGGGTGCCGGACTGGACTCCCTTAAAAAAGGGGGCTACTGAGAAAGTAGCAATGCATTTCTTGGGGAAAGTAAAAGAAAAAGCAGGAAGGGCATGAGGCCACAGGTTCAAAATAAGGGGCCCAGGGGCCCTCCGATGTGTCCACGGACCCAGTGACAGGGACCGCAGGACCTGGCCTGCCCCTTCCCGCTCTGGATCAACCACTTTCCCCGAAACCTGCCAATTCTGTTTTTTAATTTTTTGTGGAAAAGTCTAGTTGGTCTCGTAAAAGTTACCACCTCGGCCAAGAGTCCCGATTCCTCTTCCTCGAGAGACCCACCTGCTCCGCCTGCTCCGGGAAGGACTCGCTGCTCTTCACCAGCACGTTGGCGCTGGCCGCCACGTTCTCCGACAGGTCGATGCTGGCCACCCACTGCCGCCGCCGCCGCCGCGTGCCACGAGACACGGG